AAAAGGTAAGCTAGGTGTATGATAAAATTGCCTAATTTCATCATTTTTTTTTCTTTAATATTTACATTGCATAAATATTTTTTCCAGATGTAATTCCTATAGGAAAAAATAATGCCTTATAGTACCTATATTAAAATACATTTTTTTTTTTTGACAGATGTCTGGAAATAAGTGTGTTTATTTCAATTGTGGATTGACACCGTATAGAGATCCGACACTACGGTTATTTCGATTTCCAGTTAAAAACCCTTCTTTGACCCAGGAGTGGATTTTAAAATCTGGTAAGAGACGTATGGTAAAAACAGGTTGGACTGGCCCTGAAATATTTAAGTACTTAGTTTTATTAACGTATATGGAAATAACATTAATCGATCACTCGGTGGTAGGCCAGATTTAGGAAATGGAAAAGCGGGACAACGGTGATCACTGGGGATCACGTTAAAAAGATTTTTATTAAATCAGGTTTTTTTTTGTGTGGAGATCTAAAAAAAAGGTCCTCCGATTATATTTTTAAAACAATTCCGGGGTTTTTTTAAAAAAAATCTTATCTCTTCAAAAATTTCTTTATTTATAACTTTGGATTTACAAAGTATGCCATTTGAGTAAAAAGCGAGGTATTTAGGTAAAAAGCGGGGCATTTTGGTACTTTGGCGTGGCGCGTGACAATAAGTGAAAAAGGGGGACAATTAAGTCTAAAGCGGGACGACTGGCAATTAAACATTAACGTGAAATATAGGGGTAGATTTCGATATTTTATTAAAAATTCATATTAACTGCCAAATATATTGTAGGAAATGCTGCATTGATAAACCTGAGTCCAACATCTTTAAGAAAAAAATTTGTATGCAGCAAACATTTTGAGGACCGGTACTTAACTTCAAGACGATTGCCAAGCACCGCTATACCAAAAATGTATGGTACAAATGAAACGCAAGAAATATTTGAAATAACCCATGTATCAAAAACATATTTGTCACAGCCTTCAACAAGTAGAGATATTTCTCATGAAAGTGACGAAAGTAGTAATGATACAATCGATCCATTTTTGAATCAGATTTCAAATCTTCCTTCGTCATCGTTATTGAAGAGGGAAGTGCGTCCAAAAAATAATAATCCTGAAATTTTGAAAAAAAAATTAAAGGAAACCCAGAAAAAAAATAATATTCTTCAAACACGGATCAGAGTCTTAAAAAAACAAATTTGTAATGCTAAATCATCATTAACTCCTCCTAACAAGCCACTTACTCAATTTTCTGCAGCTTTGGTAAAGATGCAACTACGAGGTAAAAAACGGATATGGTCACCAATAGAAAAAAAAACAGCTTTAGAAATTTTTTACAAAGGTCCTGGCACGTACAAATTTCTACGTAGGAGAGGAGTTATTTTACCGGCAGTATCCACAATTAAAAGTTGGATTTCAAATTTCATTTGTAACCCTGGATTTAACAAAAAAATATTTGAAAATGTAAGAATGAAAGCAGAAACTATGTCTAGTCTTGACAAGAAATGCATTTTATTATTTGATGAAATGGCCGTTAAAAAAGCCATTGAATATAACAGAAAATTGGACATTATAGAGGGATTTCAAGACCTTGGTACCAACAAGAGAAACCCAATTTTTGCTGGACAAGCATTAGTACTAATGATTAGAGGCACATTCAGTCAATGGAAAATTCCAATTGCATTTTTTTTGACAGGAGATGGTGTGGATGCTGACTCTCTAAAAGAGATAATTACTAATGGCTTGAGAATGGTCAAAGCTACAGGTTTGGAACCTATAGGAATGGTATGCGATTTGTCCAGAATAAACCAAAAATTGTATAGAAATTTGGGTATTACAGTAGATAATCCACAATTTCAAATAGACGGGCATAGGTATTTTGCATTTTTCGATGTGCCACATTTAATAAAATGCATCAGAAATAATTTTATTCAAGCTGATTTTATATTTAACGGAAAATATATAAGATTTGCTGATGTTAAAAAATTGTACGATCTCGACCAAAGCAGCAAAACTGGAAGGGCTCTAATAAAGTTAACACCAAAACATATTCACCCAAATTCTTTCGAGAAAATGAATGTAAAACTTGCCACTCAACTACTTAGTCATTCTGTAGCTGCAGCTATTAAAACAGCAACCAGAACAGGTGAATTAGTTTCGGTTACATCTGAAAATACGGCGTATTTTATTGAAACCATAAATAATTTGTTTGATTCTCTAAATAGTACAAGTCCTTATAGCTCAAGACCATGTAGTCGAGCTTACTGTGACCAGAATATCGAGGTTATTAATGCTACTCAAAGAGGATACGAACTATTTAGAGATTTGTATAAACAGACTAGTAATGGCAAGTTAACAAGACCTGATTCCTTCGATGGTTTTTTACTGACCATAAATGCGGTCAAACAATTTTATTTAGATTTAAAGGACAAAGGTCTTAAATATATATTAACCGGAAGATTAATTCAGGACCCTTTAGAAAATCAATTTTCGGTTTACAGGCAGAAAGGAGGTTACAATCGAAACCCTACTGTGAGAAGTTTTAAAGCCGCTTTTAAATTAAATATAGTTAATAATTTTATGAAACCTCCTGCTAAGGCAAATTCTGGATCAAATTCTGATGAAGACAGAAATCTATTATCTTCAAATACCTCATTAACACTCAATATTTTGAATACAACTGAAGACTTAACTGAGGACGAAAAAGCAGATAATAATGAACCAGAATGTGAAAGTAACTTGGAGGGGCCATCGAAATCAGTCGACGACTACTCCGAAGCCCCTGTCACTTTGGAAGAGTGTTCTACTTTATATTTTGCAGGATATTTATTAAAAAAGTGTTTACATAAATTTAAATGCGAAGGTTGTCAAAATCATTTAGAAGGTTCAGGAGATATGGATGACAAACACCAACTATTAATTTTTTACAAAAGTTATGATATGAGTGACAAATGTGGATTAAAAAATCCATCAACATTGTTGACTTCATTTACGAAATTATCATTCCAAATATTTGCCGAGTACTTCGATAAATATTGCACAAAAAAAGTATTACAAAATTTACGTAATATAATTGAGGAGAGAATGCACATAATTTTGCCAGAATGGTACAATTGTGACAATAACTGCAAAATTCACAGGAACTATATTCTTGAATTATTAATTGTAACACAAATTTTCAAAAATTGTAAAAATCGTTCTAAAACGGAAGTGACAAAGAAAACAAAGAAAAATGAAGTTTCCAAAAAAAATACAAAATTATCAATTCTTCAGCATAAATAACTAAACCTACCATTTTCTTTATTTTTCTTATGATTTCCTTTTCTATTTTTTTATGATACCTGAATGTACCTAACGATGTATAAATTTTACATAAAAATGTTTTTCTATGTTTAAAGTGTAAATATAATCAGCTTATGTTTTACTTCGTAAATTACTTTTTTAGTTTTATGCGATTTTTTATAACCCTATGGCAACGTAAAAATATGTACAATTTTAAATTAAAAATGTTTTTGTTGTTTAAAAATCAATGTATTTAATGTAAACTGAATACTGTTCTGCCTAAAAACATTTAAGCTTAAAAAATACAAAATTGTTTATTAAACTAACTAGGATATACCTAAATAAATGTTTTCCCTTTTCAATCCCTATACATTTTTTCTTTTGTAAACATTTTCTATTTATAGTAATTACCTATTTCAGCTACATTATTAGGTATTGTTTTATAAAAAAAAAAACAGAAGACTGAACAAAACATATTCTATATACCTACTTACTGAATAAAATATTCATTAATTATTACATCGAACATTGAAAAACAAAGTGATGCCCACTTTACAAAAATAACAGACAAAAACATAATTTGAGAAGAACACTTTTAACTTTTAATATTATTTTCTCCTACAAAGTTTACTGTTAAATTCTCACAGCAATTATTTTGATATTAATGAAACTATTTAATATACCTAGTTTTAATTTATTTGTTAACCAGAAACTACAATAAAATACCTATTAATTTAAAAAAACAAACTACACGGATTTTTGAACACCTACCTACCTACCTAGTATAACTTCTGTTTTAAAGTCTGGGACGTATAATAAATAATAATATAGATACAACCATTGTATAAATATAACATACAACTGGACCCACTGGTTGCATTTATTTGCGTAAAATAACTTAAATTCACACCAAAACTAGAAAATTGCATAATGCTAGCCCATCCATTTAAAGGCCATGTAAGCAACTAATATATCCCAATTATAGGCTGGTCAACTATTCTGCGACAGTTGCCACTTTTGTTAAACTAGAGACGATGTACCGTTGATGTACCATCCAAAAATTCGTAAAATGACAACACAGCGATTACGTTGCACAATGATCAAACAATCGTAACTTCTCTCTCTGGCGCGGCGTCTAGAAAACTATCTTCTGCCTCCGACCTCTCTTAACTTAGCTACTGTCCGCTTGGAACCGCTATGTGATGGAGATATTATAATCAAACTTTATTTACATAGGCGTTGACCTACTATATATATTTATACAATGATATGACCCATCAGCTTAGTATAGATCTGTGCTGATGTAGAAATTTATATTTTTGAATGGCAGTGACATCTACTAGCGAAAAGTTAACACATTTATTGGATTTAACACTTAATAAAATTTGTATGAAGGAATTTTTACATTTATTCAGTTTACTGTAGTGCCATCTGAAGGTGGATAGCTGGACTTACGGTCGATAATAGAGTAATCTCACTCGATGAATTAAGTGACTACGTTTCTGATTAAAAGAGGGCGCTGTAGTATGCAAGATGAAATTATCTGAAATGTCAAGAGATGTTTTTGTAATTTCACCTGTGCTCTGTTTCACTGTTTCTCACAAAGCAGAAATCTGCGAGCAGCTGTCAGTGAATCAGTTAATGGCGTGCTATCGCGAATGTTAGCTAAAATCAAAAAATCTTTGCAACGATAACAAACTTTGTGTAAACACAGACCATGACGGTGACGGGCATTTTACCAACATATCAACGATTCGTGAATGGTGTTCCAGTGCCGTTTTCGAGACGTTCTTTTAGGCCTAGAGAAAAATATGTAGTATTTTTAGTGTTCGTAACATTCGGTTTAGTATGTTTTGGTACATTTTTTTTCCTTCCCGAGTTTAGGACCGGCGGTACGGCCGAAAGTGTTTACAAAGTGTACGACACGATAAAAAGAGCTGGACCGGAGCTCCTCATTCCTCCACCACCCCTAGAAGATATTAAGGAATCTCCTAAGCTCCTGAGGCACGAAGAAGACTTTAGGGAAGACCCTCATCTTATCGGTGATAGAGCTAAACTCAAAGCGAAAATAGAGCAGGACGGTGAATTGAAGGTATTAGAAAGACCTGATTTTGGTAAACCTAAGACTTCTTCTACGACAAAACAAGGTAATTTTGAGGTGGTTAAGGGAATTGAAGAATTTAAAGATTATGTTACTGTTCCTCCAGCTGTGAGTGGTAGCTATCCCTTGATAACTGGGGGTGAAGATGAAAATGCTGTTGCCAGAGAACGGCGAGATAAAATCAAAGAGGTAAGCAACATTGTTTTTTTTATAATTATCTACCGAGTAGGTACCTACTTATCTAACTTTTTACTTATTTCTAAAATAATCAAAGGTACATATTACCTACTTCTACTACTTACTAGATTAGATTAGGTAGTTATCTAATTTAATAATCAAAAAATTATGATAATTGATCTGTCTTAAACAAGAATTGATAAGGTATCAGATGATATTAATTAGGCAATACTGAATGTACGTCTGTTTTTTTCTTAAAAAGAATGTCAAATTACCAGGTAGGTACTATACTTAAGGTAGGTACTATAAGTACTTACTAAAATCTAAATAAATTAACCAATAAAATAAGTAGGTACATATAAATCTACAAATAATTGATTATAATTATTATTAAGAGTCAAAAAAGACAAACATAATTATGAATTTTTAACTATAATAATTTTATTTGTATTTTTTTGAAAATAAGTAAGGTGGAAATGAGCAAAAGATAATCAAAACAAAGACTGAACAAAAATAACATGTTAATAATTCATAACCTTGAAAGATTAAAAAACCATTTATGTTGGTTAATAGACTTACAAATACAAATTTATTATACAGATAAATATTTATTGTTATTTTATTTCATATTTAAACCACGTATTTTCCAATTTGTATTATATTTAAGGACATACGTAGAATTACCTTTATATATACAGAGTGGGTAGATTAAGTATTGTTATAGCCTCCCAATAACTCAATTAGGTACAAAGGTCGGTAGAAAAACAAAACAACTAAGTATTAACTTCTATATTAACTCTTTATTTTATTTCTTATAAATACATAAATATGTAGTTTATTTTAAATTTAAGTTTTTACAAACAATTGATATTGTTATGTGTACGGAGTGTACATTTCGATTTAAAAGATGAGATAAATCTGATTTGATGATCCAGTGACAATCTTTATAGACTAAAAACATAAATATCCATTAATTAACTATTGGGATAGTAAGCAATTACTTTTATTAAAAAATTGTTGGTAACAAGCCGGATAAGGAAAATTCAGGGAGTGATTTTACCGAGGGGCGAATCACTCCTGCAATACATGTACAAAATGTCCGAAATCCCATTGAAAATCGCCGCAGTCCCATCAAAATTAGCGGCAATCGCTAAGAAATCGTCGCAGTCGTTCAGAATTCCCTCACAGTCTCCCCGAAATCTCCCGCAGTCGCTGAGCAATCTCTAGCAATCATTAAAAATCGCGCGCAGTCAGTTGACATTTCATCCATTCGCCATTGTGATTTGACTAGGCCAACTAAGCCATCTTGTGTAAAATTAAACAAATTGCATTTACGTTTATCAAAAGTGTGGTTCCATCAATTATTAATAATTTTAAAATGCCATTTTTGGCAAAGTTCATTAAATTTCTGATCTGATCTGATAGAAGATACTTCCAAGGTGGTCCAGAATTGTCTCTATTTCACCTGATTTTTTTTAATGCATAATAAAATTGTTTGTATTTTATTATAGGTAGTCCAATTAAATAACGAAAAAACGCCTCTTCGAGCTTACATTAATTTGTAATTGGATGAAACAAAAAGGACCTTGTGTATTTTGATGTGATCTTTCCGAAAAAAAGAAAAAAAAGATGTAGCAGTTTTTCAATTTTTTTTAAATTAGGAAAAACCGGGTTTTCCGGAATTTTCCATTGTAAAAATGCTAATTATCTGGGCAAGTATCATTCCGATAGTGAAAATAAATGCACCATTCGAAAGAGGAGGCAAAAATAGTTCGGAAATTCATTGCACAGGTAGTTATAATGGCGAATTTCTCGCCGCCAGAAGTGCTTTTACCAAAAGGTCGTTTTTTCGTTTTTTTGAGCAGAACCATGGACATGAAATTTGCGATGAATTTGTGGCGAAATTATAAATGTTAGACATATGTGCCCATGAGAGAAGTTGCGTATTTTTTTGTTGGCTCTCAAATAAAATAAGTCCCGCGGCGAAATCTGCCATCATTTTTCGGGAATTCGCAGGAAACCGGAAGGCGTAGCTTTTTTTAATTTTTTTCCCATATGATTTTTTCCAGGTTTTCCGAATTACATCTAACAAAAAAAATATATTTGAAAAATCTAACTTCGCCATCGAAAAAAGCACAAAAAAAATACACAAAAAGGTATACTTTAAAAATGTTAGGAAATTAATCCTAAGCCTGAGTGTAACTTCCAACTTGGTGATAAGCTTGCTTTTTGTTCTCTATCTGGTTTTTAGTTATTTACAAGAAAACTTGAAATGGGAGAAGATATATATGCATGACAAAAATACGTATTTTCTAGTTACGTTCCGAACTTTTTGAAAAAAATTGCAAAACAATTTTTTCTTAATTTCTCGTACTTTTTTCTTAATTAACTCGAAAACTAATTATCTGAATAGAAAACTGTTTCCATCAGATGATAGAGAAAAAAAAAGACACGAAAAACTGTGGCATATACATTTTTTCTAGCATCCACTGTTTTCTGAGCGCACGTGTGCAAAGATCGGTAATTCTCGCGAGAATTGAAGCTACTCGAATTTTCTGGCAATTGGGAGAGAAAGTAAGCTTGTTTCTCATTAAACTTACTGATTCTAATATATTTTCAGTCTGTAAAGTGCCCAAATTACGGAAAAAATCGAGCAATTTTCTAAGCACAAAAAATGCGTAATTTTCGGTTATATTTCGAATGTCATAGGTCGCATTGCAAATCTGCAATAGTTCACCCTCTGCAAGTGTCTGATGACATAATAAACACAGGCCAGCCATTGCAACCTGGAAACAAAAAATTATAGCACTGTGATAGAATTTTCTTAATTTAGGAACGTACTTAATTAATAAATTGCGGAAGAAGTTCGAAAAGCCACGTGTACACAGAGCTTGCTGAACACGGTTATTAAAAATCTATGCCGATGAACACTATCAAGCGATTCAATTTGTAAAAATATGACCGTTTGAAGTTTAAACTTGTCAGATAGCGAACGCCGAGACCATTACTATCCTTGATGCGACGTGCGGCTAATTTGGCGGTAATTCTATATTTTGAACAAAACTCAAGAAACGTCTTATAACAAGTCAGTAAAATACAATTTAATAAATTTTAAGCCTAATAAATTTAGATATGTAAGAAATTTAAAACTGGAAATCGCAAAAAAATCAAATTACAGTAATGTACTGTATACACGAGTTTTGAATCCCGCGGAGCGCGTGTAATGGGACTTTTGTCGGGAGAATTCTACAACTTAGAAGGAACATACACACTTTAAACTTTGTATATACATTTAGTAGACATAAAATTTGGGTTTGCTTAATTTTCAGACCAAAAAACTAAAAATTTGTCAATTTTAGGCAACTTTTCTCAAAAACCGTGTTTTTTGGTCGTCACTCAATGAACAGTGGTCAAAAAAATAGATAAAATATATTTGCAGAATCTTCTGTAATGTAATCGTATTCTAGACACAATAGAGTACTCAAAAAAAAAGTTCTGAGCCATTGGGTGCATTTTTGGCATTTTTGTGCCTCTTCAAATTTTAGAAAAAAAAATTATTTTTTTTTTAAGGAAAAAAATTTATTTAATTGTTTTATATCTTAGCCAATTATGGTCCGATGTAGGTGAAATTCACACACACATAAGATTTCACATTTAAGAGTAAGCTTTGTAAGTGGCATTAAAAAAATTCAAATAGTTTGGCCGTTATAGGCAAACAATGAAATTAGGACCGCGGTACACTTTGCCCTTCCGCCATATGCCCAATTTTGGGATTTCTCTTGCCCCCTTCTGGAAATCACTAGACACATCCCTTAAGTTCAAAACGCATTTTTGTTTTTTCAAATATCTTAATTTTTACCAATGTTATGAATAATTTAGTGTTTGTACATTTAACAAATTCAATTTTTCGACCTTCGTCGCCTCAAAATACTAAACAAATTTCAATCGTCCATACCGCGAGAACGGTGCATCGGATCAAAATTTCTCAAGAGACATAAAAATTAGCATTTTTCCTAAGCTTTCAAATGTCGTAAACTGCGTTTTAAAAATATTGATTTATTTCCGACATGCGCCTGCGCAAAATTGAAAAATTGACAAAATCCAAAATTTCGGTACTTTCGAAAAACTGCTACATTTTGTTTTACCTTTTTTCGAAAAGATCGCCTCAAAATACATAGAATCCATTTTGTTTCATCTAATTACAATTTAATGTAAGCTCGAAACCCGTAATTTAATTCCATTAAGGGGGTCATACATGTTTTAATTAGGGTTTTAAATGTACCTATTTTATTTAAAAAGGAATTAATTTATTGACAGAATACATTTTTCACTTTCCTGTCTGTATACAGATAAGGAAAGATAGGAATCATGATTTTTTTTTCACAGATTTTTTCGTTTTGGGGTTCCCTAAATCCGTTTGACTATTTTCACGATGATGTATGTGTGTGTCTGTTTACTCAACAACTCGTGAACGGATAAAGAGGAAAACTCGAGGAAAACACTAAATTTTAAACTTAAGCTTTGATTAATCCTCTAAGGCCCAGTTATACCATTTAAGTTCAGGCGAGGTTCAACTAAACTTGGTTTTGATTGTGACATTTGGGTATAGTTAGTACCACGTTTGTCACAGTCTAAACTGGGTTCAGTTGAACCTCCTTTAAACTGGAGTGGTACAACTGGGCCTAATAATGAGTGCATTACATTTTAGGCGTTGTCGGAACATCTGGGGGGGGGGGGGGGGGGGGGCGGTACTTTATAGGGGTCGTTTTTCTACTATGAATATATTTATATTATTTACGCTAGAAGAAAATTCTTTAAAGTTGCTTTAAAGTTTTTTTTTACTTTAATACTATCTCCGTTATATACGATTGGTGAAAAAAATTCTTAAAAAAAAAACTTGTTTGCGATATAATTCTCTAAAATTTTTGTTTTATACATGATATATCTTTAAAATGGACCGTAATAGAAAAAATTGACAAAAGGTAAAATTTAATTTTTCAATATTTTCGCTG